GGATGAAGCAAAGATTTTTTACCTTGTCATTGGGAAAGAATAGCCCCATTGATACTTTCAGGTGCATCCACCTCAAGAACATAAGGGAGTGCAGTATCAGGGTGTTTAAGAATAGGTGCAGAAGTAAAAAGTTCCTTAAGTCTGTCAAAAGCAGTCTGAACTGCAGGAGACCACTGAAAACGGACTTCCTGTTTAGTGAGCTGAGTGATTGGGTTGATAATGGCAGAAAAGTATTTGATGAACTTGCCCTAACAGTTAGCGAATCCCACGAATGGTTGGATACTCTTGCAGTCTCCCAGGATTGGCCAATCCAAGATGGCTGCTACTTTTTGTGGGTCCATGGAAATGCCAGTGGTGGGAACCCCAGGAACTGAACAGTCTCGTTTCCAAACTCACATTTTTCAGCTTTTACATAAAGCTTATGCTCTCTGAGTCTCCTCAAAATGTTTTTAACATAAATTCGGTGAATATCAAGGGAAGATGAAAAAAATGAGAATATCATCTAGATAATATCGTCTAGATAGACTACCATAACAAGATCTAGAAAGTCTCTGAAGATGTCGTTTATGAAATGCTGAAACATTGCCAGGGCATTACAGAGTCCAAACGGCATCACCTAGGTACTCAAAGTGCCCGAATCGAGTGCGAAAGACTGTTTTCCACTCGTCCCCCTCTCTGATTCGGACTAAGTTATATGCACCTCGAAGATCCAATTTGGTGAAGATCCTTGCAGATCTGAATCGTTCGAGTCCTGGAACTAAGGGTAAAGGATAGCGATTCTTTACCGTAATTTTATTTAATTCTTGATAATCTATATAGAGTGGAAGGGAATGATCCTTCTAAACAAAGAATATTGTTTTCCGGTCATTCGGAATTTGGGTTTTCACACATGCACAGCTGCCATCTTTTACTTACAATATCACTTTGGGGGTTAGGGGGTGTAGTGTGTCCCCAGGCACTTTTCCTCCCTGGGAATTGTAATTGGCTGTTTGTGTACTGCTGTCTGTTCTTTCATGTTAAGGCACTTTTGTCTGAAAACTCTGCTTCCCACCTTTCCATCTGCAGCTTGAAGTTCAGGTTAAGAAGTGCTGCAGGAATTGCAAGCTTAATATGTACCTACACTTTTGTTGGCATTCTGGGTGATCAATGTGCATTGCAAGAATTTTAACAAGCTTTGTTGCAGATTCCTACTGTTTTCTGTTCTGTTCTGTTTGCTTCTTGATTTCCTTCCTACAGATTCCTGAATGGGAGGGTGATTTGTAATGAGGAGAGGTGCAGTGTCTGCCTCCCCTTTAGAAGTAGTTAACCCTTAGGGATTATCTCCCCAAAAGTGGAATGTCTATTGCAGCGATGCATAAATCTTTACTTGTATCTTAGTGCAGACTTCTGGCAAAATCTGTGAGCCAATCACACCAGCAGCTGCTCAGATTGAAATGGAAAGGTAATTTTTAATAACTTGAAATTACAGAATGGCTTATATAGCATTTTTATGATATTTTCTATTAACCAAAGTGTAGTTTTCGTCTGTTATCAACCTCTTCAAACCCTCTTAGTGGAGTTACTTAGGAGAAGGAAGAGAGATTGAAAGTCGCTATTACTCTTTTGACTTGTTGGTAGAGTCAGGGTATTCCTTGAAATCTACTATCAGGGGAAGAGATTTATAGTTTTTTCGGCAATTTTTAGCCTTAGAGGAATGGTTGATTTTTCTTACAGGCTATTTATGCTTTAGAACAGATCCAGACACCCTTAAAGTTCTCATGGTTCGGGGCAATATGTACAGAGATCTGCTAAGTAAGCGATTTAGTCCCAGACTCCATTTAAAAGCCTTGGATTCTAAAACCTTCCAAACCTATGAGCAAGCCCTCCTTACAGTGAGGGACACCCCCACTAATCAAAGAAGGGGGACACCTGTCAGCCTTTGCAACCACCTGAAGTTTTTAAAATTTTCAAAGAAAAGACAGAAGAGACATCCATACAAAGACTGAGGAAATTCCCAGTTAGTCTTACCTGTAATGGTACTTCAAGGAATCTTCTAGGACAGCAAACCTACTTCCCACCATTTTTAATATGGTTTTTGTATACTTTTCCCCCTTGCATTGGTGGAGGTAGTCTGCTTTCATCTTCACTGAGGGACAAGCTTTTTACTGTTCTGTTTTTGTTTCTTGTAGAGGGAGGAACCAATCATCGCTCAGGTTGCTGTTCTTTGTAGGAATACCATTACCAGTAAGACTAACTGGAAATTTATTAGACCTCGTAAAAAAAAAATCAATATAAAAGTCAATTCACAAAAATTACCACACAGGTTATCACCCCTTAAAATATCAGATTCAGCGTGCTGATAACTGGAAGTTTTAGGGGGTTATTCACTGAAGGGTGAAGAGTTTTTGGAGAAAGCAGGAGAAGTGAACAATCTAGGATAACATAGTTAAAACAATGCTTTTAGCAATTCTATTACATGCAGTTGCACACAGTTACACACTAATGCTAATGTATGTAAAGGGGACAGAGGGGACACAGAGCTGCGCCCAGCGAGGAGAGAAACTAGGAATGCACCGCAATTTCAGCCGAAAGATGGTGCTTTCGGCATTTTGCCAAAAGTGCCGTTTTTGGCTGATATGTTTCGGCGGCCAAAATTTTGGTGCATCCCTAATTTTGGGTTTACACTTTAAGGTTTTACTCAGTGCAGTAAAATTTCAACACTTCCAGATAACAGCCATGTTACAAAACTGCTAAAATAAAAGCATGCACACAAATTTGGTAACAATGTCTGGTAGGGCTGCAACCAACTAATTGATCGATAATTGGCAACTATTCACATCGATTATTTGGTTGGATCCCCTAGCTCTCTCCTCCATGCTGAGAGGAGGGCACAGCAAGCGGTGGGCAGGTACAATAGCCAGCCTGCTATTGGCTATTGCAATTTGAAATGGCCAATAGCAGACTGACTATTGCAACAGCCCACTACCTGCTGGATTTACATTCATCCATCTGCGGAATCTTGCCACTGGCAACTGTCATTCCCTGGCTGAAGCTAGTCAAGCGCCATGTGCTTGCAATGCAATTATTGGAAAAGAAAAGATTATGGTGGGGGAAAAAGCCATTTTCGGTTTCGGCTTGACAAATTCTGCTGCGGGAGGTGCGTTGCAGTGCCATTCATTTCAATGGCACCCCAAACGAACTTCCCACAGTGTGATCGCCCGCACTGGAACGCAGGGTAGCGCAATGCCGTGTGTTTTAGTGCAGTACGATTGCAAAAAAATTGTGCATGCAGTTTTATTCTGAATAAAACTTTGTAATACTACATTTGTGTTAGGGATGTCCCGATGCCACTTTTTCAGGCCCAAGTACAAGTACATCCCCTCATGTACTTGCCGATACCAATTACCGATACTTTTTCTTAAAGGGACAGGTGACTTTAAACGATCCATAGTACAACTACATGTTATGTACTATGGATCATGGTTTAACCTATTCATGTTAGCAGTGGAGAATTGTAACTCTATTGCTGGAGTGTAGTGGAGGTGTGTGCTGTATATATGTACTACATATACATTACACACGTCCAGTACACTATAGCAATAGATTTACAGCCAGCCCCGTCCCAGCTTCCCTTACTCACAGTTTCACTCCGATCCCTGT